TATTCTGACCTGTCTGGTGTTTTTTCAGTTCGATTGACATGCAATTGGGAGGAATACACTTCGTGACAGGGCTTTCAAACCAGGGTCTTAAGTGCTCATTAAGACGGCTATATTTCCAGGGCTTCTGACGATGATGATGATGATGACGACGAGGACTTTGTTGGTTGTGGTAATGGTGGCGTTGGCGGTGGTGGGGAGAAGGAGGAGACTCGGAAAGACAATGTCTGAAGAATCGGAGACTTGTTATCATATATAAAGAGAAAAGCGGGACACGAAGTAGGTTCAACTGACGAGTTTTCACCCTCGGCTAATTGGTGTTGATTCGGTTGTGGTGCGGAGTTGACCTGTGTCCTGACGTCGTTTTGAAACCTAGTTTGCATTAGAAAGCCCTTGGTTAGGTTCTGCAGTGAGAGAAGACCACTTCCATAGGAGTCATTCTGCAATCAGTCCCATACCGCGGGGGACATATAGTAAAACACATTATTGAAATTCGCAATCATGACTTCGGTTAGGAGAGATTGCTTCAGTTGGGTCCTTTGATTACGCGTCCTTCTGACTACCTGGAAGAACCTCACCCACCAAGACAGGACTACGCGCGTAGTAGGAAAATTTTCCGCCAGTTATCGATGCTTTTGTAAATCCAAGTATATTTCCCTGAGCATAATTCCTTACATCCATTCCGCAGCAAATCACGTCTTGAGACTTTATACTTCAAGTGGTGGTACCTTTCAGTCGCAAAAAAAGGCTTTGAATTCTCAAACGAGCTTGAACCCGACGTATATTTGTACACTTTGCACTTAAGAAAAATCATGCATTCCTTTGTGACACTAGAAATGTGCACTATAGCTCTCATGACAGTGGACAATCGCTATGTGGAACTTTGTACATTTTAAAAGGTGCGTTACTTGACGGACAGATACGATAACACTTGAATAAACATTTTAAAATCTTAGAAAATCGTGTCCCCTCTGACACCTGTCATCGTCGTAAGGACCTGGTTAGACTGGTTTGAAGGACATCATTGCCCATTCCGAGTAGTGGTTCATAGTATGAGCATACCACTTCCTGTGGTAGGGGACGCTCACCGATCGGTCTTACGGAACTCACTCGTTCCATTGTGCCTTCTGTACTCTCTCTATCTCTCGAGCCCAACCAGCAGCCGCACATCGGCGCATGATATATAGGCAGAAGAGGCATTACCGACAAAGACCAGGGAGACTGGAATGGCCATTTCTGGCTTATTAGCCGTCGTCAGCCAGCCATACCCAATCCCGAAGTGTGGAACACCCGTGGCTCGAGCTTCATCGAAACCGGCAGGGCAAAGGGCTCGTGGCCCAGTGGTTAGACGCGTGGACTTCTAATTAATAGGGGCTTCTGCCTGTAATTATATCCACAATGACCGCATCCCCACACCCACCCCTTTTTGGAAGATCTAGGCAATTCACTCTGGCAGTGATTTGGGCCAATTTGTCCGTTCGGTGGTGTTGGGACTGAGGGTACAAGACCCGGAGAGGCGGACAAAAATTAAGTACCAGATAATGAACGATCAGTAATGACAGAGAAACGGATTTCTTCAGTTCCTATCAACGCATCATTCAGATCCCACTCCGCCCCACCCAATTTTAAAGAGGTACACCGACCAGAACGATGGAGACAGAGGAAACAGTTGTTTTGGCCTTCGTTACCCCTTGTCCAGCAAGGACTGTACCCGTCCAATATTTGCAACTGCAGATGGCGACGATTTGGCAGTCGCAAACTTTGAACCTAGAGGCGCGTCCAGGGAGTGGATGCGGTACCAGTGACTTGCACGTGAGTCGGTCCATTATGGGATTGACTTTCGACGCATCTAACTCACACCCTCCTTCCTCACCAACCCTGTCCCTATGCTAAGACTATCGGAGGTAGGCTCGGATCCAATGTCTGGCAGATCTGAGCAGCCCGTCTTCGCGTGCCACACACGACCCCTCCGAATGTATCATGCTACTGTGAGTGCGGCTCGGGTCCCACATAGAAGGGAATCCGCAAGGAGCATGTTAAGAAGGAGGCGTTGAGGACTGACTACTAGTCCGGAGGAGGACCTAGTAATTCCAACAGTTATCAACAACTGCTCTAACCCGTAGGCACACTATTGGCGTTCGGCCACCGTCAGGCTTGGTCTGAAGCGCCTCTTGTTCAGTTGCGCCCACAGACCGGCGCCATCTCACGAACATCCCGCTGGCGTTGTCTGTCCCGCGCGGACCCTCGTGGCCATGTGGGTTCTACTCAGCCCTAGAACCAATCAATCACATGCCCAGCACTCAGCCAGTCACTCCCTCACGCTGGCGCTGACATGATGCACACGCGTAAAAAAACATGCCGCTGCTTACGCGCCACCGAACGGATGCTTTGTCCTGATACGCCAGAAAACAGACAATCCGCGGCAACCTGCCCTGTGTATAAAATAAATAGGTTCTTGCAGCTCGCTGAATTCCGGCATTAGGCAAGGCGGACGTAGTATGTGTGGTTAAAGTTAACAGCGACAGGCTAACTGCAGACTGACTGTAGGCCCGCCAGGCGGCCAGTCAACGCGCAAACACACACTGGGCCGACTGCCAGGTCTGAGTTGAATCGTCAGTTGGCAGTCATCCAAGTCAGGACTCTTAGCTCACCATGATAGTCTCAATCGCGTCTCACTTCCTCTTCCCCCTCTCAGGCACCGGTCTTCTGTCCGAGCCTGTCAGCCAAATAATTCAGAGCGGTGGAGTTAAGAACAGTCCGTCCGCATGCGCCACGCACACACGTCCTGGCCCTCGGTACGCACACACACACACACTTGTGGCAGACTGCTCAAACCTCACATACAAAAGAAGGGCCACATGGAGGAGGAACCGAAGAACACACGTTTCACCCAGTGAGAGGTGCTTAGCTCGTGCCTACGGAGTGCGATGTTGGACAAGTTCATGTGTCGGTGAGGAAAGGTGTGGCGATGTGGTTTAGTCTGCGATGGATTTTTATAGAGGCCCATGTCACCCAGTAGGGTCATGTGCGCGGGTAACGCGAAAAGTTGAGGCAATGACGACGGATATGGTGCGGGGTGCTCCGGACACTGATTCGTCAGCCTCTGTGCGGTGGGTTCTCAAGTGGCCCGTCAAGCCGACGCGTGATGCGCATGTACGGTGGTAATTTGAGGGAAATAGACTGCGAGAAGCGGAGTCGGCTACGATGGTGATGTTGACAACAGTGGCCAGGCTGGAGAAAAAGTAATGGTGGAGGTGGAGAAGTTGTCGGGTGTGACGAGTGTGTGCGAGGAGGCCTGGTACTGGTTCGCCGGTCACAGTGTGATGAATTCGCAAGTGGCCGACCGGGCCGATGCGTAAAGAGGCGATCGAAATGAGTACAGGTTAGGAGGCAATCCACGTTACTGACGGCCGTAGGGATAGTGGTTAACGGGGCCTCGAGAGTGTTCTCATCGGTGGCAAGAGTGGGACAGGCAGTAGTCACCGTCGCCGTGGGGGTTGTGGCAGGGATGTTGAAGGTAGCGGTGATCAACGGCGACGGAGCATCGGGAATGTGATCACCAGTGGTGAGGAAGGTCGTCATCGTGGACACCGCGAGAGTTGATGCAGAGGTGACGACGGGGTGGGTGTGGAGGCAGTAGTTTGAGTTGTTAGGTTGTTATTGTGCTTGGTCCTGAAATGTCCTACGAGACCGATTCGCACGTGCGGAAGGTTTATCAGCAGCTTGGGGATGTTGGGAGGGGCTGGATCTTGGCGTTATGGATCGGAGGCGCTTGAGAGTTGCGAGTCGCTCTTTCAGTTTCGATAAAGGCGATCCGGTTGCCTTCATAGATTGCTGCTCCAGTCTTCACGGCCGTTGTCTAGGCCAGTCAAAGAGTTCTGCTGGGCATCTTTTCTGTCCTCATTATCTGTGAACACCCGTAACGACTTCGCCATAGAAAAGTCACGTGGGTAATCGCCTGTAGTCTATCTTCACGAGATGGCCGCTCCAGCGTAGTTGCAGTTGCCTCAGCATGGCGTGAATGCTGAGAATTGCTGATCGTCCCTAGACTTCCGTGTTCGGGATCCTGTTCTGCAACCGTAGCTCTAGGATTTGCCAAAGAAAGCTATGGAAAAAATGATTGATTTTTCGTGCTTCTCGCAAACAGTCCAGATCTCCGCCCCACAAAACAGTGTTGTCAAGATGACAGTTTTGTTCATCTTGAGTTTGGCCTTGAGATGGGACCGCGGCGATTGGTGCAGCCGGTCGAAGGCCTAGTTGGCCTTGAAGATTCGATTGTCAATTTAATGTTGCATGAGTGAACTGCATAAATGGGCATAAGTGTCCACGGTTTTCAGGTGGGACCTTTGGTGGCGATGCGAGAGACGTTAGATGCAGTGCCGGGTGACGGCTGATGCTTGAATTCCGACATGTCAGTTTTGATGACTGTCTCTAAGTTGGCGTAGTCGACAGCGAAAAGGTCCTTGTTCCGTTGTACACTGCTTTCTTCGCGGTGTCGAGCAAATACTTATCCGCAAAACACATCGCCGATAGACGCTTTGGGACCTGCGTGCGTCGGTTATTGAGAAGATGGCCGGCGATAATGCAGGCGATGCGGATCCCAGGGTATTTAGTCAACTCAAACGTCCATCAGCATGGCAATCAACATGAGGCTGAAGAGGGTGGGGGCGCATACGCAGACCTGCCTCACTCCGTCGGTCATTGCAAATGCTTCTGAGACGGTTCCATTGACCGTGACGCGCCCCGTTATCCCACCGAGGAGCTGACGTACCATGTGTGTGAATCGTTCAGGGCATCGAAATTTCTTCATGATTTTCCAGGGCCCATCACGATTCACCGTGTGGAAGGCTCTCGTCAGGTCCACGGAAGTGGTGCAGAAGTGGATCTTCTCTTTCTGTCACTTTTCTTACACCTGGCGGACAACTAAGATCATGCCGATGGCTCCACGGTGTCGTAGGAATCCACACTGGCTTCCCGGTAGAAGTCATCGTCCTAGATGACCGTTAAGGCGGTTGAGGAGAATTCGACATTGTCGCATTCTTGGCGGTTCCCTTTCCGCTTGTAGAGGTTGAAATCCCGTAGAAACCGTCATAGTGCCGCGTCTCCTGGGACATTGCTGTAAACTTGTCCATCAACCGGGAGCTTGCATCCGGTCCCAGTGCTTTTCTGCTGGAGAGTTTTTTCACGAATCTGATGGTTTCTGGAAGGGATTGCGGGAGGTCCAGATCGTCGTTCGCTTCAACTTGAAGAAGTCGGTCGATGACGGTATCGGAGATCGTCAATGGGCAGTTGAGGACACTTCTGAAGTGCACGGCCCAGCGCTTCAGAATCTGGGATTTCTCCGAAGGCAGTGCTGCTTCGTTGAAGATGAGAAACGGAACGGTCCCTGTGGCTGTGGGGCCGTAGACTGTCCCGATTGATGCGACATAGTTCTCTTTGTCACTGCGGCCCACATACTCCTGGATTTCTCCGACCCTGCGATCCATCCAGTCCCTGCTGCATGAGGCCGCAGCGTCGGAAGACGGCCGCTCTGTTTCCGTCGGTTTGACTTTCGACGAACAGATTGCTCATATCTGCTCATATCTGTCGAACCAGTACTGGAGTTGACCAATTGCACGTTTGAGGACGTCCAGGGCGGTGGCTTGGGCAGCAGTCTGCGACCCACACCACAGTCTCCACGATGGCATTTTCATTTGGATCTTGCAGCTCCGCAAGTTACTGGATCACTTGCTTGCCAACATCAGAGCACTGAGAAGGCTAATTAAACAGAACAGTACTGAACGTACTTGTTGGTCGCTTACCTTGTGGTCGCCAGCTAGGTTGCATTTGGAGCCTCATCTTGGAGATGTCGAAGCAGTGGTCCGTCCAGCCTGCGGCGTCACAGCACGTCCTATCGACCTCGCCTCCGGGCAGGAACGTGGTCCAGCAGATGCCAGCCCCGTGATCGGGTGTGCATCCAGGTTGCATGTTTCCGTGTCGGAGGGCGGAAGTAGGTGTTGGTCGTGAGGGTACGGTGTTCTGCAGAGGTTAGCAAAGGGAGGAGGCCGTTGTTATTGCAGGCACCAAGACCATGTGGACCCAGCGCTCCCCTCTGGGCAGCGTGACCTGCCTAGACGAGGGCACTGAAGTAACCAAGGAGAAGTGGATTGCCCGCTTTCAGCACAGTCGCCAGCAGGGAGTGCAGGCCCTCGTCGAATCCGTTCCCCGCATCGTCGAAATTTGTCCTTGGAAGACCAAGGTACTAATGATGGTGACGAATTTGGTTCTCCAAAGAGGCAGACGCAGAGTAATAAGGCGGTCGTTGATGTCCCACAATGTTGTCTCGGAGGGCAAAGGAGACGCCAGCGTCACCTCACTCTGTCTTTGGGCCGCCACAGTAGAGGAAGGTGTAGCTGGCACCCACCTACTCCAGTTGACTTTGCCCAAATAGGCGGGTCTCGCTGAGAGCAGCGATATCAGCCCTGCAGCGCTCTAGTTTTCGGGCGACTAGTTTCGTCCTCCATTCCGGTCATTTGCTCGTCGGATTGTCTAAGAAATGACCAACATTCCAGACTGCCAGAGTCAGCGGACTCACTCTAGCAGCCTGTGAAGTGGAGCGGGAGATGGGGACGGGGCTGTAGTTGTTTGTTTGCTTGTTTCGACCTTGAGTGATGCATCTACGAGCCACGGCCTGTGTCCAGATGACCTGACCAAAGCATTTGTTAAGGCGCCTTATTCTGTCCTTCTCACCCGCGAGGGGTTAAGGAGGGCTGTGCGTAAATGGATCGGGGTTGCATTTCGCCCTCTCCGTACGAATGGGGGCAGGTGGGAACGTGAATCGAACCAAATCACCGGGTGTCGGGGCACACATAACACGGGGTACCCTCATGTGGTTTGGCCCGCCGGTTAAGGCGGTTACAGAGTGGGACCGTTAGACAGTGCCTAGCTTCGGTGAGCCACAGATTACATTTGGATGTCAGTTAAGGACTGTGAGGGGCAGTCATAACTTGCGTGAAGCAACCTTCCACACCTGGAGTTTGCCCCCATCCACTAAAAACACAGGCATGTGTATGCACTGAGCAGATTGTTTACTGAACCAGCCCGAACAGTAGTAACTTATCGTTGATCGCCATTTGATCGACTGACTGGTAAGAAAAACAAATCGGCTTTGCGTTAACAAGGAATGGCAAGGACGCAGTATGCGAATCCACTCAAGGAATAAAACCAGGTCATCGAGTGATACAAGTTTTCTGCGTGAGACAAGACGGTAAAAAGGAGAGCACGATAGCAGGTAAATATTTGGTTAAATGTTGAGGTATCGTACTGTTTCCTCGGGCTGAATTTCCGAGGAAATTAATGCGCGAACTTGGAGTAAATTCTTCGGGAAAGACCTTTTCAGTTACGGTCCCAAATTTCGCACGAATATTTCAGCTGAAATCCACAAGCAAGTGCGGAATAACCGCGTAGAATTCAAGAACAGTGTTATTATTTACCATACTGACAATACAGGTACTAACTAATAGCCCACACACGCGTGTTTCGTCGAACTTGTACCGCTGCCTGGTACAGATGCGTGGGGTTCGGCTCACTAGTAAGTCCCCCAGCCTTAGGACCGTGCCTGAAAAAGGCCCGTTTTGAAAGAGTTACTCCAAGTTCGCACATTTATCTCCTTGGAAATTAAACAAGGGGAAGTAAAACTGGAGTTCATACACCAGAAAACACACGGGGAAGGCTGGGGGACCCACTGATGAGTCGAACCCTTCGCAGCTGCGTCAGGTAGCGGCCTAAGATCGGCGAAACACGCGTGTCTAGACTTTAACTTCTACCTGTGTTGTTAGTATGGTACAAATGATTACAAAATTATGTACGACTGGCTGCCTCTTGGCGGTTTGCGAATATAAGGCCGTTATTTCGCAGTAGCTGATGGATTTAAGCTCAAAAATTTATATCAAACTTTGGACCGTGTCTGAAAAGGTCCGTTTTGAATAAATTACCTCAAGCTCGCGCATTAGTTCCCTTGGAAATTAAACAAGGGGAAGTAAAACTGGAGTTCATATACCAGAAAACACACGGGGAAGGCTGGGGGACCCACTGATAAGTCGAACCCTTCGCAGCTGCTTCAGGTAGCGGCATAAGATCGGCGAAACACGCGTGTCAAGGCTTTAACTTCTACCTGTTTTGTCAGTATGGTAAATTAGTGCGCATCTAACAGTGCAAGTAAAGGTTGAGCATTTTTCGCAGTTCTTCCTGTTTGTTTCCAAAAAAGAAGTAGAGGTAAGATCTTTTTTTCGTAGTCGCACCTGGAAGGGGGTTAGGGGTTATGGTTAAAGGTTGATGCAAGTGTCAGGGGTTGGGTTTGGGTTAGGGGTTAATGTTAAGGGATAGGATTAGGGGTTAGTGTTATGGGTAAGGGGTTATTGTTCGGTGTAAGGGTAAGGGGTTAGGTTTAGGGGTTAGTGTTAAACCTCCTATTACCACCGGTACCATATGACAGGCGGCTGGGGCTTGTCTACTGCAGGTGCGGCTAAGAAATAAGGTCTAACCGAAGTAGATTTCATTCCATTTAGCTACGAGAGTGCGGAAGCGTCAGTTACAAGGTAGGCGAGGACGAAATATGCCAGGATAAACTGGTTCTTATTCTCTCAGTGGGATGGCATACTGCATCCTTATCGGAGGAATTCTTTTTGACTTGAGTAATTGAAAAGGAAAAGCTTTCGGCAAACTCTTGTTTGGGTCATTTTTCACACAACTGGACAGTGAATGCGAAGGACAATCTCTTTGAACGGGATGATGGCATGCTTCATTTCGGAACAGTGGTCCTTATCAGCTTCAACATTTCTCTACTTAGTTGGGAAATGTGCGGCTCCAAACTTGACTGTTACATGCGTCGTGCAAAAGAGTTCTAGAAGTAGGCGTTTTCATGCCTAGACGAAATGAAAAAGAGCCCTTTGTCAGAATCTGTCAAAAGCCTCGCCTGAAGGGACCTCACACTTTTGGAAGCGACCGTTTTAAGCATGCTGTGCTGTGCCTGGAGTGTGGTGGAGCAGACACACTTAAAATTCGTGCACTCCATCATTTAGGTGACTTGAAAGCGTCAAGGCATTAGGTAGAACCAGGTGTGGCTTTTCTTGACGCCAAATGAAGCTATCTCATGCATAAGTAGGGTAATTTGCAAGAGAAACGAACCGACAAGACATTAGCCGGAGGAAGTAACCCCACAAACGTTGCCACAAAGCGATCCGAATCCAACACAACCGGGTTTCACCCTCTGAAGATATTACTTGCAAACAGCTTTCAGTAGAGGGTGAGGTTATCGCAAGGTTTCTTGAGGTTGAAATTGAAAAAGACTCGGATTTTACAGCGAAGACTACTAAACAGTAAACGTAGTGGCAGCGAGGAGGGACGACAGAGAATGCGGGTAGATTGATACAGTACTGTTTCGGGCTTATTTTGCCTTCATTCAGCCAGTCATAACCCTGACCACCAGCAGCTGAGACCAGAAACACAAACATGCGCACAGACACACCTGGCGCAGTTGGTCCACCACACTGGGGTCTACCAGGTGGGTCATAAGCACTTCCTCGAACCGAAGTTCATCAGTGCGCCTCGCCACCTGCCATTCTCTGCCGCTGCAGATCGGGTAATTATTCACACCACCCAGACTCTGTCGTCTCCTCTCTGCTATCATAGCTTGGCCGACTTCGGCCTGGTAATTGTTTGCCTGTTCGTGACCTTCGCCACCCATACAGAGCTTGTTTGCTTCGTGAAGCGCTCAGTCCTGAATGAGTAAACGTAGTGCCGCCAATTTTTTTCCGAGAAGCACCCCGCCTATCGATTGACAGATGTGACCCCAGAACGCACTCGGAGCATGGCATTGACAGTCCTCTATTCCGCTGGTCTGCACCCCTCCAGTTGATGCATGCACTGTGATTAAAATCGATTCCACACAGGCCAGCAACGCACTGTGCGGACCGCGTTCTTGCGGCTGCTGCAGTGGCCTGTACCGGCAGTCGCTCTGGCGGACATTTTACATCCTGCAGTTGAGAAGGGCGAAGAGGAGGTTAGTGAAGTGACATACACGTCGCCCGCCCCCCGCCTCCTTGTACCTGCGAACAAAAATCCAGGGCTCGACCGGACTCAAACCTCCAGGGTCGTGTGAGGGTCCTGGTGACAGGCTGCATTCGTAGGACCAGCCTGCGTGAAGCGAGGGCCACTGAAGACACCGAAGTTCGGCGTCTGCCGTGCGGGTGCACTTTTGGGTTGAACCAACTGCTTGATAATAAAGCTTTGAGGACCTACGACACTTAAGTGCATATAGTGGCTCTTTTCTGTATAGGCTGCTAAGATATTTTTCGATTCATTGCGCCCACGAGTCAGCCTCAAGCGCAGTGTTGTGCAACGGCGATCGTCGTTCATACAGAGAGGCACCGGCGGTGAGAAAGAAGGCAGCCAAACTGTGTCTTTGGATTATCGGCATTCGTCGGTTGTCTCCGTATTCCCTGACGGGAACCTTATCTAAAGCAATCGCTCCCCTGCATACCTACCCGGCATGGCACTAGGGTTAGGCTGACTGACTGTAGATTAAGGGGAAACGAGTAAGATTTTGACTGCCGTGGTTGGTTTAAAGACCATAGCAGTATGTATATATATCTCTGGCCCTAAGAGCAACAGGCTTCCCAGTGGGCGAGCGGTCGAAGATATTCAGTTACAATAGTCGTGGGCCAAAATCGAACCCCGCCTTTCGAGAGGAAAACATTTGTGGCGGTCAAGAATGAGGTTGACTAATGAGCATTGGCAACTGCGAAACAACCTGTTGTTTCAGCCATCCTGCGTCAAAGGAATTCATTCAGTTATGTCAATAACTCGAACTTGTGCGAGGGAAATCAGCTTCTCTGTTTGAGGCACAAGCCGCATCATAACACTGCTTTTTTGATTTCCTCTTTAGAATCGTAAAGCCGACGTCATTCTGTATCTGTAAGAGGTTAGCAGCCCGCTACTACTACTACTGCTGCTGCTGCTGCTGCTGCTACTACTACTACTACTATTACCACCACCGCTACTACTACTGTTAAGAAAATAGCATTACTACTACTGTTGCAATTGCCAACACTAGTATTAATAAAACGACTATTATTTTTACTGCCATAGCTGCTACTAACACCCTTATTAGAAATACTGCTATTGATGTTGCTGCTATTGCTAATAGTAAAAACCTCATTACTGCTATTGCCACTGATGGTATTGTTACCATCACAACTACAAACGTCTCTGTTGCAGCTCCTACTAATACAGCTACTGTCACTAATAATACTGCTACTACTATTCTTACAACTACTGATGCCGCTACTATAAATACTGCTCTTATGGGTCCAAATACTACGTTTACTTATTATATTCGCTGTCACTCACCCTGCAGAGTTAACAATAGTTACTGCACAACTTAAAAGATTT